TTATGATCCATGGCCAATTTGATAATCTCCATGATGGATTGTGTCCCTTTTCTAGGCGGCTTCCGCTTGCCACGTGTGGAGGTGGCGGCCTTAGACACGTCCGCGCCATTTGCTCCGCCTGCCTCTGCGTCCATTGCACCCATGGACGACATTGCCCGCCTAAAGTTATCATCACGGAATTTTCCTTGCTCATCCACGATAAGGAAAATTCCATCAGCTCCACATGGATACAAATAGTGCTGCAGCGGTACTGGACGGTAATCGGTGTGGATGACATGTACCTTTGTGCCGGGGTGAATACTCTCCACCCAGTCCGCGAATTCCCGTGCGTTTGGGATGGTGGCGGAAAGAAAGACATATTGACACCCTTCAGGCAACAGTGTAATCGTCTCTTCCCATACCACGCCACGCGACTTGTCCCGCATGTAGTGGACCTCATCAAAAATGACGCATCCCACCTCTCGGAGCATCTCGGTACCCCTATATAACATACTACGAAGAATCTCTGTCGTCATGACGAGACAGTCCGAGTCCGCCTTGATGGTAGTATCGCCCGTCATAAGACCAACGGAATCAAACTTCTCTGAGAACTCCCTAAACTTCTGGTTGCTCAATGCCTTGATGGGTGAGGTGTAGATGACACGCCTTTTTTCTCGCAGTGCCTTGGCAATGGCGTAGAGGGCCACCGTCGTCTTACCGGCCGAGGTGTGCGCTGAGACCAGCACACTGTCACCGTCCTCGAGGGCGTCAATACTCAGTTTCTGAAAGCTGTCCAGTTCATACGGAAATGTCATGGCTGGTGTCACCTCACGGCGCGGCCGCTTCGCGGTTGGTTCATCACTGCCCGACATCTTTTCTCCTTCCTCCTACTGACACGCCCCGCAAATAAGTAGAAAAAAAAAAAAAAAAGAAGAAAAAAGAAGCGAAAGAAAAATGAGGTGCCAATTTAATAACTGAAATAAAATAAATGAATCAGAAGAGAAAGAAAGAAACAAAGGAAATCATAAGCACATATATATTATTTCCAAAAAGGAAAATAATAATAAGAATAATCTTCTGGGCAGCTGGCCGGATCCTGAAATAATCTATGAAAACCAAACAAGTTAGGAAAAAAAGGTTCGTTAGTTAATTGCTTCAATGTTTTCTTTTCATTCAATATATATAAATTCTGTGGACCACTAGCATGGTCCTTAGTTCTCAGTTAGGATTTACATATTATTACTTACGAAGTGGCAGACTTTGGGGTCCTCCAACCACAAGACCCCGCCGCGTGGTGGGAATCAAAAGGGGGGTGGGTGGGATGGCAAAATAAAAACAAAAAATTATCTTGCCGCTATCGGCTCCCTGCCCCTACAAAGTCGCGTTCTTCCCAAAAGATTCATACGGTAGAAAAGTATCATAAAGAATGTCTGCATTTATCAGGATGTAAACATACATTAATTAAGTTAGCCAGCTCTCCCGCGATCATTCTTTTCACAAGCTCCTATAATAATAATAATAATAATAAAGAGAGTTAATCGCCGTTACCAAGATTGCCTTGGAGTTTAAGAATGGCCGCTGCGTGTTCCTCCAGTGGTCCTCGAAGCGCCGCCGCAAAAACACCCTCAGAGGACTTTTGTGCCACTGTTACAAGTCTAGAAACGACCTCCGAAGTAACACGACAATTTGACTCCATCCAGACAATGCTAGAGGGATCATGCCCCTTCACCGCGATGCAAATCGTTGGGCACTGGGAGCGCATCTCCTCCGTCGTGAGGTCAACCACATCCACGGCATGGATCAGACCCACCGTTTGTGCGTACACGATGTCCCGCATAGCCACGCACGCGTCGACAAGAGCCAAACAGGCTGCATTGATGCAGGCAGCCTTGTCGCTCCCATCTTGTCGCAATACCTCAACACAGATGTGGATCTGCGAGTTTGGGTACTGCGACAGTAAAACAACAGAGCGGGCCACTTCCAGCACAGCTGCACTCATTTCTTCTGACAACTTAGATCTTCTCTGAGGCGCACGTCTCTTTTCCCCGGCAAAGGCGGCAATGGCAACTTCACATGTAATAATGCACTCATTGTATTTGCTTTCCAACCTATTCGTGACCTCGCGGGGGCCGTACACGGAGGCGCACACGGTAGCCAAGCCACTCATCACCGTACAGCAGCCATCGCATCCCAACACCTTGCCAAACTCCAAAGTCATTCGCCTGGACTCCTGCGGCCGACGGCCATCAAGCCGCAACCCCGCAGGGTTGATGTATTCCTTCTTCTCGGACATGGATTCCCCCTCCCCAATCACCCCCGCTGCAACTACAGAAGTCAAAATTGAAAGCAAATTATATATATATATATATATATAATTCAACAGCAGTTTGCACGGCAGATAATAAAATGAATTGAATCCACTGTAGGCGCTAGACTGCTGAAAACGTTGGTAACACAGACATAGAAAAAAAGGGTAAATTCCTCATCACACCTTGTTTTTCCACCAACAAAAAGCAAGAGTATGGGAGAGGAAAGGACAAAAAAGAAGGAAAAGACCCTTTCAGAATTACAGCCGCCACTCGTATTGGCCTGTTGTCGTCAAGTAACGAACCCACTTGGAAGCTGAGTAGCGGAGCAACGGCTCCTCTACCCGCAGCTCCTTCACCCTAAATCCACTGAGTACATGGGAGGGAGTTGTGAAACTAATCTTGATGGGGGGACGCGACCACACCTGCTCTGAAGTGGCGATGGTCGGAGCGAGCAAGACAATCTCGGCTGTGAGCAACAGTTCCTCGTCATTTTGTGAGAGAGTCGGCAATTTCCAAATAACGGCATGTTGAACGCCGTCAAACTGCACTCTACCCCGTGCGACACTCAAATTTACGTCTGCCGTGTTTTCAGGGCACGGAATGCGTATTTCCACATCGTCACACCGCATCCCCTCCTTTATATCACACTTCAGCCCAAAGTCAATTTCTGTGCGTGTTTTCGATACCTCCCTGATGTGTGTGTGCAACACCTTCAGCGGAGGCGAAGAAGCTAAGGCGGCGCGGTACCGCATCAGCAAAAACTTGCCGTCCAACGGTACAAAGGAAATATTCCGATCCGCTTGCAAAGAAACACACGAATGATAAGAGGCGTCGTTCAGATTAAAATCGTCGTTGAGCTCAATCTGACACTCGGGCATGCCCGATAAAAAATTTTTTACCATGACGCTTCCAACAACATTACTCTCCAACACCTGGCCCCTCTGGGAGACCAACACATATAGTTCCTCAGAGACGTCAATAAATATTTCATTCACGCGGTAAAAGAGGTCCCTTTTTCTCCACGGCATTTTCCCCGTCAGTCGCGCTGTCACACGCTCCGATTGCTCCGGCTTCTTCATCAGTGCAATGTTGATACCCTTGACGCCAATGAATGTTTTCAATAACTCCGCCTCCATCGTCTGTGGATACCCAAAGTCCATCGTTTCGTCAATAAGTTGCTGTAATGCAACAAAATTGTCCTTAAGCGTCTCCTCACTGATGGTGTCCAAGTATGCTTGGCAGACTTCCAAAAGCTGCAACAAGTACTGGAAACAGGCAAAGCAATTGGTGTTTCCGTCAGACACGAGGACCACGTACACATCTCGGTATCGCACGTGCACATAGCAAAGGTCATCCAGAATATTGATGGGACTACGCTCTACCTCGCTGGTTGAGATGAGCCGGTTACGAAAGCTCTCGGCAAGGCCTCGCACGCTGAAACCATCGCGAAACGTGCGGGAAAGAGCAACGTCCCCTCTTGAATTCAAAAACATGAGAACGCCAATCATTGTACTACAAGAAAGCAAGAAAAAAAAAAAAGAAAAAAGAAAAAAAAATCTTCTAGTAAATCCTGCAATCACCACTAATGCCAACACGGTCCGAATTCTCTTACGGCACCCATTTCAGTTATAAGACTTCTTCAAAGCAAATCAAGGCCTGGTTTAGCTCTTCTCCTCAGTGACTCCAAATTCACCCGCTATATTTTGTTTATATTCGGCTTTCATTTCCCGTCGCCGTTTTCTTCTCTCCAGCGCCTTGCGGTCCCGTACCTCGTCGTACACGGATACCCTAAGGTATCTATCTTTGTCCACCCTAAAATCATTCAATGCCTCAAGGGCGGCAGAGGCCGCCTCGCAAAGCTCGTACACAACAATGGCACAACCTTTGGTGGAGGCATCATCTCCCAGGCGCAGTTGTTGGATTGCACCATAGCTTCCAAAGACCTTGTAGAGTTCCTCCCCCCGACACAGCTTCGAGGGAATTCCAGTGACTAAAAGAATGCGTTCATCCGGCATTATTCTAGAATAGTGTTGCGGTAATTCACTGTTAGAAAGAGAAAGGCCATAAGAAATAAGAAGTCACAGATAAACACATCATTTCAAACCGCATCATCTAATTGGAGTTGCGAGGGAAAAAAAGAGTGTAGGAAAAAAACTCAGAACATTTGCATTTTTTCCTTTTTTTTCATATTGCTGCCGCCCTCTTTTTTTTTTTTTTTTTTTTTTTGCAGTTGTTTCCTTCCCACCTCTTAATTACTTCATAACCACTAGGGGAGTGTCATGCAGCGTATTGAAGTAATAAATCATAAATGGAAGAGATGCACGTGACGGTGCTTCCTGGAACATTTGCACCTACAAGAACGACATTTGGAAGAACTGTGCTCAAGAATGAAGCTTGTACCTCATTTTGTATCACTACAAGGGCAGGTTTTATCTGTCGACAGAATGACTCATACCCCTTTGCCGTCTCACAAAAAAGGATCCGGTGTCGAACAAGACCGCTTATCCCCGTCAACATTGCGAGGACCTCATTTTTCTCTTGTTTGCAATTAACTCTGCACATCACATATACTTCCATATCAACAGCAAATACCACCAGGGCTTCCTTGGCGTGATCTCGCCATTGACCTTGTTCAGCGAGAACCTCCCAGGCAATGCATACACGGTGCCCCTTAAACTGCTGCTGCCGCATCCTATTAAGAAGAGATGGCTTACCATCCTTTGAATTGGAAATGGATGGCGTCACTCGTCCATTACCCCTTGGTGTACTTTTCAGCAAAAACACGTAAAAAGAAACGGCACCAACAGCTGCCGCAAAAACCAACCATGCATTTGAAGCTGTCATGGATTGCCAAATGACCTCAAATAATGGTTTTCGAGCCATGCGTGTCCCGTTCTGTATTAGGAGAAAAATAGAAAAAGTAAAAAAAAAAAGGAAAAAAAGAAATAGCAACAATTAAAAATATTCTGTTTATCTCTGGAAAAGGAAATTATAAGCAAAAAATAAAAAGAAAAATATAGAAAGGCAAAAAGAAAAAGTGAAAAAAATAAATAAATAAATAAATAATAATAATAATAAAGTAAAAGAAACACACGCAATAGATATCGCTAAATATTCAAACGAATAACGCATATTAGCTCTCATATATATATATATTTGAATTTCCTCCTCGTGATATCAATCCTTTGCTCATTAGGGTTTCTAGACCTTTTTTAATATCAGCCACTGACGGTACAAATCCTGCTGTTTGAAGAGATTTTGTGATAGCATTACAGAATTCAGTGTGTCCAATCTTTTTTTTGCTCTTGATTATTTGAATTGCGGCCGCCTGAATACTGAATGATATTGAGTCTCCCAAAGGCTCACAATACGCTCGCGTCTCCCTATTCTTCTCCAGGATTCTGTTTCCATTTGTAGTTCGTACACGAAGTTTACTTCTGGGATTATTAAAGGCTTGATTAAAGGCATATCGTAAAACATCATCGACACGGTCAACAGTTATCAATCCCAGTTGAGAAAGAGATTCCAATTGAAATGAAGCATCCCTTTCAATCAATTTCGTCTTATCACATATTTCTTGCAATGATAAATACTCATTGTTTTGTTCACTGTTTTGAAAACAAAGAATTGTACTCGCAAAGGCAGTTGGTGCAACAATTTCATATATTTTACCATGGTTCAATGTGAAAAACACCGTACCCAGAGTTGTATTAAAGGAAAGTTTTCTGCCATTATGATGAGGCAGGTAGTAGGAACAAAAAAGCTGCATACAGTTTTGCATACTCTCTGGAAGATCAGGTGCCAGGTCTGTGTACTCCGGCCAAACGCCAGCTGTTATAACAGTAACGTAAAATTCATGTGGCAATTTATTCCCCGTCCCAAGAGAACGAATAAATCCTTTATTCATTTCCCTTCGCATTCTTCCGTCTTTAATCATAATTTCCAAATGATTAACAGATTCTCCACATTCATTTCGAATTTGATCAATTAGAAATGTTTCATTTGAAAGAGGATCCTCCGGTTTGGAATTGATCAGCCTTGCTGCAAGCAATAATTTAAACGCATGATCAAAAACCTCTTTCGTTTTTAAAAGACGAAATAGACCAAATACATCTGCAACAAGCCGCTCTAGTTCAGCCTCAGAAATTTTAGATTTTACTTTTGCATCATAATAATAAGCAAGGTTTTCAGCAAATTCAGTACTGTCTTTGATTATTTCAGTAATCGCTTGGGATACCGGTGATTGATTAGACTTTGAAATAAAGGGCAAATTTAAAATCAAATTTTTTATCCGGTCCCTTAAATTTAATATTTTCTCTACTGCCGATATAGGAGAGGCGTTATCCACATCGGCTAATAATTCTGATCCCATTTTTTTCGCTGTGCCAACGATCATATCCAAAAATGCCTCCGATTCATTTACTTTTCCTAGAGCCTCGGCCAAAAGATGAAGGGATTGAGTCTCCATTCCTCTAAACATAGAAGAGCCGCCCCCAGCTTCATTGTAAAGAAGCTTCGTTGTGTTTTCTTTTATCAGCAATATTCCCAGAACCTTTTCAACACGCTGGGCTGTGCTTTCACCAAGAATATTAGAGACATTTGTTTTCGATTCTTCAATTACGCCAACCACCCACTCAAGATAATTTTTTGTGCCCAACTCATTTAGTTTTATTCCCATTTCCTGTCGGTACTGATCTACCAAAGCAGCAATGAAGGGATCCTCTATGTAAGGTTCGAAAATATTATGTCGATATGATTGAGAAAGTCTCGAGGCCAATTCCTTTAGAACATCTTTAGAAGTTTGACCACAAGTGAAAATTCCTCGAACACAAATGGAAAACATTTCAGATATCTGGGTATTTCTCAGCACGACTTCACAAAAAAGTCTTTCCCCCATCTGTGAAATTGATTGTCTGTGGCATGTATAATTGTTGTTAAGGTATAATAAGGTCTTGCTAATAAAATTCACTGCGGAACTAAAATCATCCCATTCGGTTTTAAGGCTTTTAAAAAAATTTTCACTTGTTACACTGAGCAATCGGTCACAGATAGAGTTTACATGCGTTGCAAGAATCGCCTCAAGATGGTCAAAGAGTAGTCCACTACCTTGTTGTTGACACATTTGAAATACGGAATGATGTACCTGCTGAAATGAATATTGAGACATCACCTTGTTGAGAATAGAGAGAACTGTCTCTCTAATAATTTCCCATTTTTCATCCTCAATCATATTTGTGGTTTGTCTTATAGAGCTGAGTGTCATTTACTCTGAAAATTCCTTCGTCAAACAACAATCCAAAAAAATATATATATATCACTTTTACTAATTTACTATCACTAAAACTTTGTGGAAAAGGAAAAAAAACGCTTTATAAAGCAAAAGTAAACAAAGAGAAAAAGTTCGGAACATAAAAGCAAAAATTCAAGGTTTAAACCAAAAGGCTTAAGCCCATCACATTAAGGCAATGCTCACCTTTTTTTTTAAACACGTAATTTATGCCAAATCATTTTGATTTCTTTTCTCTTGTATCTGTTCATGTCTTCATTTTATATTATATCTTCTCTCCTTTTTTCTCTTCTTTTCTTTAAAAAAAAAAAAAAAAGCAAAAGTGCTTACGATCGTCCCGTTCTTCAGTATATGGCTCTTTTCATTGTGTATACGGGCATTTTTTGGTTTAAACCGGTTGTCATTCAGTCTTCCTCTTAACGGACCGATATACCCCAACCACGACGGCGTGATCCCTTTCAAACGGCTCAAGTGAGGCTTGTTCTAAAGGCTTTAAACGGTCCTTTCTTAATTTATTCAATTCGGATGCAATCACAACAGGAGCCTCCAAGGTTGAATCAATACAGTTTGCCTTGATTGAAATTACATAATGGCCTCCGTTCTTCAAAAATGCCTGTGCATTAAGAGCAAGAATACGTGCTTGATCTGGTTGGGCAACATCCATAAATACGCAATCGACCATAGGCACAAGCATTCGATACTTCATGGGATAACGAGCATCTTCAATAATGGGAACAATGTTGGGCCGTCTTTTCGACATATCAACAAGATCGCGACCACTGCGATTCGAAAACTCTATCGCATAAACCATACCTTCGGGTCCAACCAAGTCACTCACATGACTCACAGTTGTACCGCTTGCACCTCCCAAATAAAGAACCTTCGATCCTGGTTTCATATGAATACTCCCAACACCAGCATAAATGGCAGCGGCAAGCTTTGAACGATATGGATTCCAAAGACGATATTCTTTCTTCTCATCACCACCTTGCGTTGCCCCTAGTTCAATCCTTTTTTCTCCGTAAACTGAGACTCCAGGAACCATGTTCAGAGTACAAAGCGAATCGGCCTTTCCTTTGGAAATAAATACTCCAGGGTGAAGCATGTGAGGTTCCACAACAACCTTGGCACCAGCACCCCCACCGCGGCCTCCCCGCCCTCCACGGCCAGGACCACCCCTTCCAGCGCCTCGTGACGCACCGCCACGACCTCGTGCAGAGGAACCACCGCCTCTTCCACCACCGCGAAACCCTCCACGACCGAATCCTCCACGCATTGCGCTATTCTTAAATTCGATATCGCAGTGAGAATTCATAAATTGAAAAACAAAAAAAAAAAGAATGAAAGAAGAAAGAACATATAATAAATAAATTAATTAAAAGAAGAACAAACAAAAAATAAAATAAAATAAAATAAATAAAAATAAATCTTCATTCAAAACAAGACAAAACACAGGAAATAATAATAATAATAATCATAATCATAATCATAAAAGCAAAATTAAAAAAATAATAATAATAGTAATAATAAAATAAACAATAATAATAATAATAAATTCAAGGATAAATAGATAATAAAATTGGGTACAATTTATTTTCTTTTTTTTTCTCTTTTTTAATTATTCTGTATTATGGTAAATGGACATAATTTCCATATGCATCGTGTGATTAAGAAAGACTTTCAAAGTGTTTCTCAATAATAAAAAAAGGGGAAAAAAACATTAATTTATATAAATTTGTTGATTGTATATGATGTTGTTCAAAAAAAGAATAAATCTGTAAAATGTCTCTTTTTTTCCTTCAATGTAACAATATTAGAAGAAAAAAAAAAAAAAGAAATGAATTCATACAAGAAAACTAAAAGGAGAATGACGCGAAGAAATGTTCAGTGGTGCGATTCCCCGGAATTTTTCTCGTCTCCCTCCGGGAAACGCCCCACAAAGCACGGACCACGCGTTCGCCGTAGAGATCTTAGCTTCCGCGCCCCTTTCCCAAAAGGCCCGCGGCCATTTTTTCCTAACAACAAAAAACGAGACACAAAACAAAAAAGGGAGGTGCCAACCTGCCGGTTCCCCCCTTGCCGGGAGCCAAAAAGAAGAATAAAAAAAACGAAACAGGAACACACTTGACTGCGGAGCGCCTTTTTGGGAAAGGCAAAAAAAAAGTTTGCGCAGTCCGGGAATCGAACCCGGGCCTCCCGCGTGGCAGGCGAGAATTCTACCACTAGACCAACTGCGCTCTTACCTCCGAAATAATTTCCGTGACGGTCACTGTTTTAAAATTCAGAAACGGAATTATTTTAGAGGGCCGTTTTTGCTTTTATCGTTTTTGCGTGGCCGCTTAGCTCAATGGCAGAGCGCCGTCCTAGTAAGACGGAGGTCGGGGGTTCGATCCCCCCAGTGGCCTCTTTTTTTCTGGGCCGAATTCAGAAAGGAATGATCAATGGAAGCCAAACAAGTTAGGAAAAAAGGCTCGCTAGTTAACTGCTTCAATATTTTCTTTTCATTCCATATATAGAATTCCGTGGACCACTAGCATGGTCCTTTGTCCTCAGTTAGGATTTAAATATTATTACTTACGAAGTGGCGGACTTCGGGGTCCTCCAACCACAAGACCCCGCCGCGTGGTGGGAATCAAGGGGATGGGTGGGTGGGATGGCAAAATAAAAACAAAAATTTATCTGGCCTCTATCGGCTCCCTGCCCCTACAAAGTCGCGTTCTTCCCAAAAGATTCATACGGTAGAAAAGTATCATAAAGAATGTCTTCATTTATCAGGACATAAACATACATTAATTAAGTTAGCCAGCTCTCCCGCGATCATTCTTTTCACAAGCTCCCAAAAAAATTTATCCTACCCGCGGTAGGTGTCAAATATTCCCCGAAGGAGAACTGGATTTAGTATTGCACTCGTGAACAATCACCTGAGGATCTTGCGTTCACAACTCCCTGCGCAAGGCTTGAAAGCACAAAAACAATCTACATGCAGGATTCTCGTTACGAGGACAATAAAAAAAATTCACATCTAACATTAATGGAGAAGGGGAAGCGTTCTACGCTTTCCCGGTTTGCTTCTTCGTTTGATTGTCGGTTCTTTTCTTTTTGTGCAGTAAAAAAAGTGGGTTCGAAACCCATGGAGCGTCATTTTTTCTCCGCTTTTTCTTTTTACGTTTTTATAGGTTTTTCTTTTTCGGTTTCATTGGGCGGGGATGCAGGATGCTCTTTCTTTGCTCTCTGAACCGCCTGGGGGAAAGGGCGGTCCCGTTTCTGGGCATTTCAACAGCACCCTGAATGCACTGCATTCGCACTCCAGCATCGTTATTCACTGTCCGGAGGATCCATTTGACCGAGTGTACGCAGCCGCCCTGACAACTGGCAAGATTCCATAAGCATCTCCTCCTCGCGAATGACGCACGCCCAGGACGCACCTTTCCCCTCACGGCTGTCTGCATGCCGGGACCTGGCGCAGCCGGCGTCGGAAGGGTGGCCCAAGACGCATCCAGGAGCCGTGGCCAGGCGTTGCATCCATCATGCATTCCAATACGCCGTCAAATGATGCGACTGCAATCCTCCGTACGAATCCCCGCGATTCGCGCGGAAAGCCTTTCACGTCAGAAAGTTATGGCGGCACCGCGAACGGCGTCTGGCAAACTCTTGTCCTGCAAAGCTTGTTCTTGGAAACTCACCCTTCGCGACAATCTCAGCAAGAATAAAGCATTGAATAAAAAAAAAGAGATGAAAACATCATGCTTGTTGTTCACCCGGCCCCCGCGAGGCCAGAGAATTCCCTTCGCAAGCTCCCGGTAAAAATAAAGCAAAATAAAGAGCAAGACGACTCAAGAACATGCAAATCTTCACCCGGTTGTTTCCCTCATATGGACGCCTGCCGCTGACGCAGGCACGAGAAACAGTCTCTACATGAATACGAATTGCACCCCACACATTCTCACCCCCGATATCCTTTCTCTTGTTGAGGGTTGTTTCCTCCTTCCTTCTTCATCGTTCATAATTTACATAATGGCCATAAACGCCTCGGATGCAAAGATGCCCTGCGCTTCCGTAAGGATGAACTCCGCAGCATCGTCGTCCACTTCGTGATCGTGAAGGAGTTTGTCTGCGCGAGGAGCCGGGCTCAATGGGGTTCGTCCATCCTCGTCCACCAAAAACACACCTGGCGTCTCACCTTGCACAAACAAATGGGACGGCTGCGATTCACCGGAGCTCCGAATGAGCAACACCACGGCATTATTGGAGCACTTCACGTGAAGTGCGCAAAGGACCTCATCCATGAGCGATTCTTCCAGAGGGATGGGAGGAACCACACCCTTCAGTGCCGCTGCCACGCTCTCAGACCACTGCATCTTCCGAAACGACGTGGCCTCTTCTTTGCGCTCTATCCAACGTCCCAGCGGGCCATATCGATCCATTCTCATGGTAGGCGCTTTGATTTCACATGGGCCCCGAGAAATTGCAAGGCCACAGGACAGCCACTCCATCGTCCTTGTAAGCAGCACAGTTCTCGTGGGACAGCACCAAACGGACACAATAAAAGGCTCATTGGGGTCCCGCTCTGGACTCAAGCGCTCGACACGTAGCGGGAAGTACATGCTCTCCGCGGATCCCCAAGCCGCCCGCAGGCTTTTGAAAACAGAAGAGTCTAAAGGGCGCCGCATTTCCACAGAAGGAACGGCGCCATTGAACGCCACAGCCCTGGGTGTGTGGACAGCCTTCACTGAGCCGAACCCAAGCTGCCCACAGAGGTTTTCTCCAAAGGCGAACAATTTCCCTGTTTGCAGTAGGACAAAGGAATGATTTCCCGCGGCGGCAATTTGGCGGATGGTCAATCCAAACAAGAGACGAATAGACTTAAACGTGGGTTGGAGCACCGGACGCCGCCTTCCTCCCAGTTGCCCCGACACACCAAGACCACAGGCGTAAACGCAGTTCCGCAAACTCGTAAGTAGCAAAGTGTGAAAAGCACCACATGCAACCGCAACTATAGGTACCTGGAGCAGCTTTCCGTTTAAGACGTGTCCTTCGACTCCATCCATTCCACCACCAAAGCCAATAATCATCTGCGGGGAGGAAAGTCTTGGCAGCTCCCGTTTCCCACCAGCATCAGATCCATCTGCCGCATGTGTTTCCTGTTCAAAAGGCAAATTCCTCCACACAGTGCCATCGCCCAATTGTCCATGTTTGTTACTGTAGCCAAAAGAATACACGGTGCCGTCCTCTTTACAAAATACAATGTGGGTATCACCTGCGGCAACATCTCGAACATTTCCATCCCCACCCTCGATAACGGTCCCATGCCGTTCCGGAGAGTCCGGTGCCAGCAGCACAAGACGGCCACTACGAAACAGCGCGACTCCGTAGTACTTGGAGCAATACACCGCCTTCAAAAGAGTTTCGCCCTCCACAATAAACTTTCCAATAACAGCTGCCGTCCTCTCACATGAGGAAACCGCACTTGGTGACGCGTCAAGCAGAAAATAGGGCCTCATTTTCCAATCCGCTCTCCCTAAGGAAGAAGAAAGAATGAAAAAAAAAAACGAAAGGGAAAAAAATATATTAATAATTAATAATAAAGAAGGCACTCAAAATAAGCACACAAAAAGAAAAAAATGCCCGCTGTTCGACAAGCAAACGCAGCAAAAAGATTCGCCCAAATATGTACTCTTGGGAATAAATAGGACCATTTAAGCACGTATTCATGTATGCAGGCTAACCCTCCTTACTATCTTCCTTCAATTTGGTTTGAAATTTGGATTCGTGGGCCTGGAGCAGCCCCATGATCTCTGAAAGCAAAAAGAAGGACCCGGTAACAAAGATCTGCACTGGTTTCAAGGCATCCTCGCGTTCGGTTGCAGCGGGAACGGCCATATCAATCAGTTCTTCCAGCGAGGAAAACGGAGCTTTACAGGGAATACATGGAACCTCACGATACATCTCTTTCCAGCAACTCGTCACGGCTGCTATTTCGCCTCGCGCATAATCGTACCTTCCATCCGCCGTGTTTCCAGTCGCCTTCCGTGGATTCACCACAAATGCGGCAATCATCTTGGAAAAACAGTGAATAAAAGGCATAAACGACTTAAGGACATGCGTCGCATCCCGAGTGGAGTAAAAAACAAGCACGCGACGTGGATTCGCATCTCCAGTTAAGGAACGGCTTTCCTCCATAAACCAGCGGGTGGCACACGTCAAACTCTCATACGTGTGGGCGCAGTCAAGGTAAAGCGTTGCGCCCGTTCCGCCGTTGATCGACAGCACCTGCGAACGGCCTGGAAGAGTCATCGTCTGCAAAACTTGACGTTCAGCGCTACTCAGAGGCAGGGTAGGGGGGATTCCTGCCATATATCTGGCCGCCAGCAGCGCCAGTTTGGAGTCCTCAATGACGTGGTTTCCCCCAATAGCCAGGGGAGGCCAATTGAATATGGGCAGCGTCTTCTCGTCCACAACCACAAAGGGAGTCTGCTGGCCACGAGCATATCTCTCCATCACAGTCAGCGTGGACGGGTGCCACTCCTGCGGTGAGGTGTAGCAAATAACACCGGGCTTCATAATACCGGCCTTTTCAAGGGCAATTTCTTCTATGGTATTTCCCAAAACTTCTGTGTGATCGAGACCCAGTGACGTTATGACAGTCACCTCGGGTGAAATGATATTTGTGGCGTCGATGCGGCCCCCCACGCCCACCTCCACAACCACCACATCCACCAACTCCTCAGCGAAGATGTACAGCGAGAGTAAAAACATGAAACGAAAGAAGCTTGTGCGTTTTGAGAGATCGCGGGAAATTTGGCTCTCCGAGTTTGAAAGATCCGCAATGCGGTCAAGCAATTTGAAAAATTGCCTCGCGAATACATCCTTGGGTAAAAAGGCATTATTCACCAAAATGCGCTCCCGGACATCCACAAGGTGTGGGGAGGTGAAAAGACCAACCCTAAGCCCATACGCCTGCAGGAGCGCCGCGGTGTACGCCGAAGTTGTCCCCTTTCCCTTTGTTCCCGCCACATGGACAAAACGAAGCTTGTCAAGATAACCCTGCATATTGAGACGGTCTATAAAAAGCCTTGTGGTCTCAAGGTTGTTGTAAGAGGAGGCCACCTTTCCTATTGCCCAGCTCTCGATTAGACGCACCACGTCGTTAAACGTCCTCCCACAAACCGCAGCGTTCATACTCATGACTTATTTGAAGGTACTTCTGTCGGCGATGGCCCTCGTCGCCATGAAACCGCAAAAAAAAAGAAAATAAAAAATACGTAAATAAACGGCGGCGGCAGCAGTAGCAGACGAAAAGCCAAAGAAAAGTACTATAAGCCCGGAGAGTGTCCTGGCCCTTCCTCCCCAAAACATATCACAGGGAGGAGCAAGAAATGAATCGGTGTAAGAGTGTGGAGAAAAGAACGGAATATATAATTCCATTTGCACCCCCAATAAAGCGGTTGGTAAGCAAAAATAACACCGCAGCGTCCTACCCACGGTTTTTCCTTTCTTTTTTGCTCATTTTCACCACCGCTTCTTCCTCATGAATGGCCTTTGCGTGATAAAACGACAAACAACATCATGATTAATGAGTTTAGAAACGTGCGGCAATCCTTCCCCCCCCCATACACACATGAAGCAGAGAAACAAGACTGAGAAGCAACATCACCGTAAACCACAGCAAGAAGAATAGATACAAATGGGGATTCAACGCGTGGTGCTATGCATCCATATTATTGTCAAAAAAAGAAAAAAAAAACCTCCCTCCACTCCACTTCATTCAGAGGAATCCCACAGGGTCCGCTTCTCACTCAAGGACGTGCTCAGCATCCAGCAACACTCCATCCTGCACGCGGTCAGGAACGAGACGATGATTCTTGGATGGGCCTTTTCTCTTTGCGGTTTGGTCACTTTCCACGACGCGAGCTACAGTAACATCAAATCCGCACCGGCAGAGTGCATCAATTGCCGCCATCTGCTTATCACTCAATCTATCATTTGGACTCTTCACCTCCACAAGTTTAAATTCCGGCTCAACGAGGGAGAGTGGTGCCTCACGCCACAGGACGAGGTCGGGGAATCCAGAGAAGCAGATGCTGTAGCCCTCCTCCGGCGGAGAGAGGTAAATGCGGCGCAAAAGAGCGCACAGTGGGACCTGCGGAATCGCCTGCAGGAGACTCAGCAAATGCAACTCCCCAACATCTACCTTCTGTGACACGGAGGCGTTGTCATGGAAAAAAAACGAGGGAAGTAAATCTTCCTGCCTCTCGTCTTGGCGCAGATTCGGTTGCCCAAGCAACACCAATTCCCCATCTTCGCTGCTCAGCAGGCTCACCTCGCTCTCACATTCACCCTGCAACTCTTCGCGGCCACTCAGCCCATCTCGCACGGGGTTGGAGTCGCTACTATTCGGGGTGTCCTTCAATCGGCAGCGTCGCTTCACGTATTCAATGAGCGTCTCTCGGGAACACGCCTCAAAGAACTCCAGCCGCTCCTCGATGATGCGTCGACGCCGCTGGCAGAAAGCCGTGGAGGAGATGAGGTCAAGGGGGTGGTCCTGTAGTGGGGAGAGCCAAATGTAATCTGGCACGCCAGCTGCCGTCGTCTCCAGCTCCACCCCTTCACATCCATCCCGAGTTGGAACAAAAACATATGCATCCCACAGAAGAAGACGCGCCAAACACGCAAGCCAGCGCCCTTCACAGTGCAGCCCAAGCCAGCCAGTGTTTTGGCTCGGCCCAGCGCCAAACCAGCGTAGGGCATGTTTCTCGACGCTACAGGACGCCATCGAGTGAGACGGATCACCCCAAAGATTTGGCTCCATTGCGTCTCGGGTGGCGTATATGGTCAACTCCTTCGCTACCAAGAGTTGATTGGTGAAACAGGTGTGGGAAGCGGGAAGAGGCGTCCAGCGAAGCAGAGAGCAATGCAGAGATGCAAGCGTCCTCTCAATGGCAATACGATCAAAACGACGACAGGAGTGGAGTCGGTGGTACTCGTTGACAGCGTTATATAACGCCACCCTATTCTGAACTCCGCGGCTGGTGCCCTTCACCGACGGAAACACGGCAGAGAGAAGACGAACGCGACGCTGTAAAGTCACGGGAAGGCTCTTGAATGACTCTACGCGGACACAACGATGTGTCGTCGATGAGTGTTGCCGCCAGACTCGCTGCTGTTTCTCAAGAATCTCCAACGCCGCCTTTTTGTTTCCCAGGAGCGCGAGATTCTGGGCCACTCGGTGCCACCACTTCCCACGCTTCTGGGGGCGGTAGTAGAATGGAAAAGTGACGGCCCCGCATGCCGATTTCACAATGTGCACGGGCTCCTCCAGAAGTCTTTGCAACCACTGGTTGGCCAAGTCGTACCTTTTGTTGTACTGCAGCAGAGGCACCAGAAGCTCCGCACACGCGAACCAGGCGTACTTTGGAAGAAAAGGAAGAAGATGTTCGTATAACAAGCCACCCCGCTGAAGCATGAATTCGACGGTGAGGATCCCTCCCTCATTATTTATGGCACCCGCTTCCTGGGTGCACATCCTGCCACACGACACAGGGTCGCTCGGACCTCCGGAATTATTAACCTCTGAATACTCTCGTTTCCGTCCCAGTGGCTGTTGTTGCTGCAGCAAAACGAGAGCATCTTCCACGGCATTGTGAGATCCCATTGCGAAAACAAGACCCCCGCCCCTCCCTGCCTTGGCAGCAGAGGCCTCAATCAGTTTCTGATGCAGTCGCAATGCCCCCACATAACTCGTGAGAGAGCCAGAGGAGGAGAACAAACAGAGCGGTGCCAAAACTGAAAAGGGGCCCTCACCAGAAACACCATTTATTTGCCACCACGGTGGCGTCGGCATGCAAACAACACGCACGTCTCGCTGCAATAGAAGCCTCGGCGCCAACAGCCAAAGTGCCGCGGAGAGTGGACGGGTCGGATGAAAACGACCCAACACCGAAAATATGCCACCGGTGCCGCAATGGCATGTGAGAACATGGAGCAACTCACAAACTCGACAAACACTCTCCTTGAGTCGTTGATGAACACGGCAGATGGGCCCGACAACCGCGTCCCAAGTAGCAGCAAACAAGGCCTCAGGGAAATCCATGGCGAGAATGTGGTGAATGAGGTCTTCCTTGCGCGACGGCAACCCTGTGGAGGATCGCCTCACACCTGCAGCAGGGCTCTTGCCTGTGGTGAAGTCGTCTATTCCCGCCTCCGCAGACTCAATGTTTACCGTGTCACCATCACAATAATCGTCATGACAGACTTTTGTATCCACCTCTCCTTCTTCTTCTTTTTGCTTGCCACGTCTTACATCCTCTCGCTGGAGCTGAGCCAATTGCCGGAGTTCCCTGACCCTTGCCGTTTGCAGTACCTCCTTTACGCCCTCACCATTATTCGTCAAGAGAAGTTTAGCCACCCCCTTTCCATCCATTATACGCAGGAACGTGTCATCCTGGCGTCTTTCCTCCCCATCATTTTGTTTGTCTACAAAAACTGTGCTGAGTCGATCCAACGCCAACCGAACATGTATTTGCTCAGCGTACTGCTCTTCTATCTGTCGCACCTGCATCCAACTGGGTATTCGCAAGGCAAGCCTCAGGAAAAGCTCTAATTCTTCCCCCATTCTGATGGATGTGCGCATGCCCGCTGTCACGCGTAGAGGGATTTGCAACAATGTTCGCCACGAGAGCAACTCCGCGGCATCTATCACGTTTCCGCAGTACCGCAGGATGTACCAAATAGCGGCATGGAAGGACTCCACCATGGGCGTTGGTGTTGCCTCCCACAGGGCAGGCCTTGCCACAGTGGTGTCCTCCTCCACCATTGCGATCTACCCGCCGTGCGGCATCCAACCCAATGAAGGGGTGCGCCACAAGAAGCCAATCTCAACGTTACCCCAGTACTTGTAACGAGAGAGAGAAAAAGAAAGAGAGAGGGAGAGAGAGAGAGAGAGAGGCACTGCAAAAAAGAGAAATAAGTGGGGAGGGAATAGCGTGGCCTCAGGCGCCAGCCGGGGGGTGTGGTGGCGTGTGTGCATATAGGTGGAATAATAAAATAGCAACAACAACAACAACAACAATAACAATAACAATAACAGGAAAGGAAAAGATCACAACTAAACGTGTCGGTGCACTTTTCCGTGCGTCCTCTCCACGCAATCCCCACTTCTCTTTTTTATTTTGTTTTCTTTTGTTTGCAGGAAATATTTAACGAAGACGCCATCCCAGTAAACCCATGGATGGGCATGAGGAATACAAACAGGCAGACAGACAGACAGACAGACACAAACAGAGAGAGAAAAAAAAAATAAAAAATAAAGAAAAAAAACATTCAACAACAAATAAATAAAATAATCCACAGCCAACAGCGATAATAATAACAAAGGAACCCTGCAGCACATGATGCCACAAGTGTAAATAAAAATAAATAAATAAATAAATAAAGCCAACAAGGAGGAAAAAAAAACCCTAAAAACATCGCCGACGTTATCCCGCAAAAAAAAAACGTCAGTGGGTCGCTCTCGTAAAGTAATAATAGGAAAAAGAAGGAAAAACAAAAAACAAAAAACAAAAAAAAAAGCAGCGGGAAGGAGGAAGAAGAAGAAGAGCAATATTTCCCCTCATTCCCCTCCATACTACTAATGCTAGTAGTAAAAATAACACTTCCTATCACTGTCACTCTCTTTCGTTTTTGTTTGTTTTTGTTTTTTTTTTTCTTTTTTATGGACTCACTTAAATGAAAATGTCCCGACTGGATACCTGCGGCTTGCCAATGGCGCACACTTCAAACCCAATTGACATCAGTTTCTTCTCATCGACGACAAGACGGCCGTCAAAGACCATCGCAGGTTTCTTCATCACCTCATAGAGCCTCGCGTAGTCCATCGTCGTAAACTCGTTCCATTCCGTTAAAATAACAATTGCGCTTGCATTTATGGACGCCTCCAGGGCAGAATCAACAACCACTACATTCTTCAACATATTCTCAACACTTTCTCTACTGCGCGTCACCGCATCTCTCTTTAATCGATCATACGTGCAGCTTTTAAGCAGATGTTCCGTATTAAAGAAGTTCTCGAGCTCCATTATCACCCGCTCCCTCTTTATTTTGGGGTCGTAAATGCGCGGCATAGCGCCCTCCTCCAGTAGTCGCGCACAAATGTAAATTGAAGCGCTTTCACGTGTGTCCCCGGTGTCCTTCTTGAAGGCAAAGCCCATAATGGCCATGGTTTTTGTTCGAACGGTGCCAAAAGAGTTCTTGACAATCTTGTGGTAAAATCGTTCCTTCTGGTAGTTGTTCATCTTTACAACCTGCGACCAATACTCCGCCGTCTCGTTGAGAGAGAGTGACTGGCACAAATACACAAGGTTAAGAATATCCTTCTGAAAGCATGAGCCACCAAAACCAACCGATGGGTTAAGAAAAAGATCTCCAATGCGTCTATCGCCGCCGACAGCCTGGCGCACCTCCGTAATTTCGGCCCCTGTCATCTCACACAGCGGTGTGATGGAGTTGATAGAAGAGATGCGCTGAGCCAGAAACGCGTTCGCAACGAGTTTGGAAAGTTCGCTGGACCACAAATTTGTGCAAATAATACGCGACTTGTCCACCCATCGCTCGTAGATGGAGGAGATCAGTTCAATGGACACCTCGTCATCGCCGCCGATGAGTACACGGTCGGGTTCCAGAAGGTCCCGGACTGCCGTCCCCTCCGCAAGAAACTCCGGGTTGCTGATGATGGAGAAGGAGACCTTGTCGCTCTTCCTGTGGGCGCTGAGGATGCGGCGAATGGAAATGCTGCAACGCACCGGCACTGTGGACTTCTCAACCACGACGTAATGGCCCTCGACAACAGTCTCCCCAATGAGACGTGCACAATTTTCGACGTACGTGAGATCCGCAGCAAACCCCTCACCGACGCCATTCTCCTTCGTTGGAGTATTAACCGCCACAAAGATCACATCAGCCCCCTTCATGCAGTTCCTGTCGCAGGTAAAAAAAAGATTCTTGTCGCGTACTTCGTACACAATTTCGGCCAGCCCAGGCTCGTAGATGGGCAGTCCTGAATGTTCCCCAGGGAAAGAGATGGGGGCATTCCACGCAGCGATCCTCTCCTCAGAGATGTCCATCACATACACAGTGAAGTCTGGGCACTGCTTGGCGATAATTGCCATCGTCGGGCCACCGACATACCCGGCGCCAATGCAAGCAATTTTCAGTTGGCGAGGCTCAGGCATTTCTCTTTTCTCTTTTTTTTTTTTTTTTTTTTCGTGTCGTTTTTGTTTTTGTTGTTTTTGTTTTTTTGTTTGTTTTTACTTCTGTTTCTTTATTCTTTTTTTTTTTTTTTTTCCTTTTATTTGTGTTGTTGTTGTTGTTGTTGTTTTCGCTTTCCCACAATAAAATTCCTCTCTCCCTAAGCGGTACCACGCAAAATGTATATCTATATATCTATATATCTATATATATATATATACGTATCTTCGCGCTGGCACTGGCGAGCCAAAAGAAAGAAGAAAAAAAAGAGTTCTGTAGCACACACACACACACTCTCTCTCTCTCTATCTCGCTCACGCACCACAACAATACGGCAGAAAAAAAAAAAAAAAAGACAAGTGCCAATAATAACGTCACCACTCACAGTTTCGGAGGATTCACCTCTTCTTGTCGCATTTCACGCGGCATCCGCCCTGTGCTTTCCTGATCTGCTCCCACGACTGTCGAGCCTCAGAAGCACTGGGTCGCTCCGCGGGGTCCACGGCCAGAAGCCGCAGCAAAAATTCTGTGACGCCAGGCCCCACGGTGTCAAGAGCATGTTTTTGATGCGGCTGCAGAACCTCGTGCAAAGTGCGCCTGCCATTCTGCAAGTCGGCCGCGAGAAAAAACAGTCGGCCAAGATTTGCTCCCCCAAACAGCATGACGCCTGTCAAAAGTTCGTAAAGCAAACATCCGCAGGCCCAAATATCCGCTGCGAGTTCTCTTTCCACATTGGCTAAACCAGACGATGCGGGAAAGGCAGATGAGGCAGCCGAAGGTGCGGCCTCATCATGGCATTTTCCGTCAGTAAATGTGGCGCTCGACAATAAGAGTCTCTCCGGCGCCTGCACCGCCTCCGTCCCCCTCGTGGAAACCCAGCCACACGCCCTGCCATCAGCAGCGGATTTGTTGGCGCGCCGCACGGCAACCATGTCCTCCCCAACCAACTCGCTTACACCAAAGTCACAAATTCGGATGGCAATGGGAACACAGATTTCCGGCTCATCGGGTCCCCTGTAGATCCCACGCGTGCCCTTCTTTTCCTCCTCCGCATTAGACACTGTGACAGGGGATGACGACGCCACCCGGAAACTCTCGATGAGAATGTTGTCTGCTTTGAGGTCATTGTGGCGTATGCCACGAGCATGCATGAACTCAACTGTCTCGAGAATCTGTGCAAAGATGGGTCCACACACCGAAAGGATGCCGCCTCCGGACAAACGTGTCATGGAATCCGAGACCAATCCCCTTGAGGCGCCAAAACAACCCTCCTTCATTTTATCACCGACAGGAAAGCCACTTCTCATCACTCGCCATTCGCGAAGTGAGCCGCCCTCATATAGCGGCAATGCAAGAACATAGTGTGAAGCGGTACAACCAAAGAAGAGAAGTTCGCAGATGTGTGGATGCCCTTGAAGGTGAAGTAGAGCGGTCACCTCTGTGTGGCAGCTCACCAACGCAAAACATTCATCCTCCATCTCGGGCCGGCTGATAGAGACCATCTTCAGTGCAAGAGACTGTGCAGAATCCACCAAGGTCAACGTGTGCTGAAACAAAGAGACTGAATCACAACAAGAGTGTGTTGCGGCAAAGACTGAGCCATAACTGCCTGCGCCGATGCGTCGTGTTATGGTTATCCCCTCAAGTAGTTGTGGCTGCGGTAACAGCAGTCGCCGCAGCACATCCACCCCAATCCACACAGGGCTCGTCTGCATCTCTCTTGTGACAAGTTCATCAAAGAACTGAACGGAGGTTTTGTTCGCCGGGCAACGCATAAACTCCTCCAACTTACGAAGGACGCGTACAAGAGGAACATTCCAGCAAACGGAGTCCAATTGAGGCCGCTTCGTTTGGTTTCCTGCGATTCCGCGAGCAGCCACAAGGCCGGACTGGCTTATCATCCCACTACTGCGCCCGGGTAACAAGCAGCAGAGTAAGAGCAGCACCTCCGCCAGCGATGCCGAATCGTCCAGTGCGGTCATCCGTCCTTGTCCCCTTGAAGTGCTGGTGACCACAGAAAAGTCATCTCCCGAAAGCAGCTTTTGCGAGGGTGAGGTAATTTCCAACGGCGGTAACAGCGGTGCCGGTTCACTGACAACTACCGTTGGTCGCGCCCCTCCAGCCTCCACGACAGTCATCTCCCCGTTGGAAGTGTAGTACTGCGGCAGGGGCAAAGCCGCAAGTGGAAGTTTGGCTATAAAAGGCTTCACGGTGTCCTTGACGCCTTTCGTCCCCACACCGCTGCTGATGTTGAGACGGTTGTTCAACAAGTCTTTCGGGGAAGAGGCGAGTGGAGTTAACGCTGGCGCCAAATTCATGTCTCGCACGGGCGCCATCAAGGGCGTTACTGTCTGCACTCCCTCACCGGCCAAATCGCCCATAACAGCAGCCTTCGGCAGCATGCAGCTCAGCGTAATGGAAATTGACAGTTGCACGGCCGTGCTGTAAGCCTCTTTTTCCAAAACAATGAGAGACCGCAGCGCCCGCAACAACGCCTGGACGCACGGATGTTTTAAAGACTGGAGCTGATGCATCCTCTCCACAAGACAAAAGTAAAGCAGGCGCGTGTAC